AAGATGCGCAGCTGTGTGGCCCTGGACTGGATTATAAAGGAGTAAGAGTTACCAGGAATGCTCTCTGAAGAGCAATGAGTGGTCTTGAGGGAGTTAGAGCAAGCCAGGAAAGCAGGATAACCATACTGTTACATAGAAAATAAAGAAATTTGGAGCTTAGCCTTGACTTAGATCCACAGTGGGCTTGACACTTCCTCGCCCAGGGATGATCTGCTGAGCCACACGACTCTGTGCGGCTGTCTGTAGCGAGGCCAGATCCCAGAGGCCACGAAGGATGGCAGAGGCCATTAAGAACTTCCTTGAAAGGGGTCATCAGAAGCTTTGGCACCTATAGCTACGACCTGAAGCCTGCACTAATCCTCCCACCCATTGTGTTCACAGAATCTGAGAGTAGCAAGACCCTCACAGGACCCAACACCCACCTGATGCCAATTTCCCCGTTATGTCTTCAGATTGAAAAGATGGAAACAGGATTGTTTGAAAAATGTTTTCCAGGGCTGGCTCCAACCCAAAGCCTGGCTGACACGTGCCTCACTAGATTATATATATTGTTTCAAAGAATGGATTAGTGTAGATTCCCTCAAAAGAGCAGCAACCTGGACTTGGAGAAGTAGCACAATAGCGATTAAAAAATATTTGGGATTAAATAAGCAATGTGGATTGTTTTAAAAAACATACAAGGGTTAGAGTCTCTTCCGAAGCTATGTAAGCAAAGAGAGAGCTCACACTCTACTGGGTAAAATCCAAAACTATTGTGAGGATTTTATCTGGATCTATCAAAGTTCTTGAAGAGGCAATAGTATGAAAACACTAGATAAATCTAATGTGGCTTAAAATATCACTGAAATAATAATTTTTTAAACCCCACACTCTTTCACTTGGAGATAAATCGTTCCTACAATGGTGCCCTCACTCCTGGGCCTCAAGAAGAATTAATATGCAATTTTTATGAGTCCTGCAGTTGATCATATTCATTTTTCATTTGCAAATAGGTAACTTGAATTGATTTGTTTTTATTCTTGCCACCACAAAAGTATATCTATATAGAGAAAATTATAGGCATTTTAAAGTTTAAAACACTTTGAAAACTCATTAGCATGTAACAAGGAGTGCTTGTATTTGATTAGTTTCTTAAGAGATGGAGAGAAGGAATATTTTGGTCTCTCTGTTGTTGTTCAAGAACATAAAAAACCAATAGCTCAAATGTAGTGTCATTATTACATTTAAGTTACTGGAATATTTTGTAAGGAAGTAATATGACTTTGTCATCTATTTGAAAATGGCTTAGCTGAAAGCCAAAACCATTATAATTACATTAAACTTAGAAAAAACCGTAATAATTGCCATGAATAGGTAGGATTTCTTTCTGTATTGCAAGGATAGGTTATTGTTAGACACTATGAAAATAATTACACTAAGAAGTAAAGATCAAAATATGAATATCTCAATAATCGAAAAGTCATAAAGGCAAGATTCACCATCCATTCCTGATTGAAAAAAATACTCTTAGTAAAAAATCAAGAAGCGTTTTCTTAACAGAAAAGTAAAATATATCTAAGCTCAACTGCTAGCAGTAAACTTAACGATGAAGTATTCGAGGCATTCCTAGTAAAATAATTGTTTTAAAACTACTAGCCTATACAATAAGAAAAAGTACATTGATTGCAAATGATGTGATTTCAACCTGGAAAATCCAAAAGATTGAATTGAAAAAAATAGAGAACTAGAAAGAGTTCAGAATGTTGGTCTATTATAAAATAAATACATAAAATCAGTATCTTCTCTGTATTAAAACATAATCCAAGATCCCATTCATAATTGGAACTAAAAAGTTAGAATAACTGAAATATACTTTGAGATGGGAAAAACCGTTTTACCCGTGACGCTGCATCAGAAACTATAAAGAAAAATATCAAGTCGGATGCCTTAACTTGAAAAGAAAATTCTTGGCCCACTAAACAAAATTGAAAGACAAAAACAACCTGGAAAAATATTGCAATATATGTGTTAAAATGAATAATATGTAAAGAGTTCTTATAAATCAATGATAAAATGGTTAAAAGATATGAATGAGTATTTTATAAAAAGTATAGATAGCCAACAAACACAAAATGTTACATTTTACTGGTTATGAATGAATCAAATTAAGACGATATTGTGATAATTACATTTTACCTATCAAATCAACGTATATTGAAAACAATTAACCGCTGTGATGGTGGAAGTGATGTGATGTGGTACTCATATAAGAGGCTAGTGGAAGTGGAAATCAGTATAATTTTCTATAGGGCATTACATACTTATCTTTCAAAAACCTTAAAAACACATCTTGTTTTACCGAGCATTTCCATAATTGGGAATTTAGCCAAAAGAAATCAATAGTCATGTATTCAAGAAAATGTGAATAAGGATGTTTGTTGCAGTGTTATGTGTATTAGGGAAATTTGGAAATCAGCTAAATTTCCAAATAGAGATAGATAAATAAATTGCGATACAGCCGTGTATACTGTAACAGGCTTAAAATATCATCATCAGAAAATATTCACACTTTAGTAAGGGAAAAATAGCAAAAAGTGCATACTCTTTATTGTGTTTTCTTGTATTTTCTAATTTTCCACAATTAAAACTCATTATTTTTGTAATCAGAGCATGAAAAGATATTTTAAAATGAAAAGAAAGTCGTATGAAGTGTGATACTGTTGAAATGGTCTCCTAAGATGCTTCTACCACATCTGATTGCCGTGTGTGTATGGGTTAAAATCCAGGATCCTGAACTCACTAGCTAGGTGACTTGGGGAACTTCTCTGTGCCTCATTTTCCTCATCTGTGAATTGATATTATAATCATATCTACTTTGATTAGTTAAATTAATTAAAGGAATTGCTGTGAGGATTAAAGGAATTTATATATGTGTAAAGTAATTAGAATAGTCTTTATACATAGTAAGGGCTCAATAAATGTGAATAAAGTACAGTGACCTTTTTTTTGGATGAACCATGGAAAAAGTTCTACTCAGCTTTTAGTATCAGGGAAAGCTATGCATCTCCAGAAAAATATATTTTAAAATTTAATCTAGAGCCAGCCCTGATGGCCTAGTGGTTAACGTTTGGCACTCAGCACTTTGATGCTGGGGTTTGCTTCCCAGTCGTGGAACCACACCACCAATCTGTCAGTTGCCATGCTGTGGCAGTGGCTCACATAGAAAAACCGGAAGGACTTACAACTAGGATATACAACTATGTACTGGGGCTTTAGGGGAAAAAAAAAAGAGGAAGATTGGCAACAGAGGTTAGTTCAGAGTGAATCTTTCCATGAAAAAAAAAAATTGATAATATAGTAAACTTTAAAACTTAGCATGTTCCTTCCTTCTTTGACTGCTAATTCATAAATTCTGGGCCAAATTCATGGTCACCCCTACTAACTATACAGGACCAGATAGGTTTTCTCTGTGCACATTTTACTCAGTACTATATTATATTTCCACCAAATTTTCCCTTATGTTAGGATTTCCAAGACACCCAGTTAAATTTTAATTTCAGATAATAATTTTTTTTAGTATTAAGTATGTCCCAAATATTGCATGAGACACACTGAAATATTATTTTCTATTTGTCTGAAATTAAAATTTAACTGGGAGTCCTGTGTTTTTATTTGTTAAATATGGCAGTCCTACCTTAAACATTATATTTATTTATTATTAGGTTGCCCCAGATCCTTTGTGGAACAATATTGGGGAATGAATGAATGAATGAATGAATGAATGAATATCTGAGTGAAAAAAATACCTTGAGTAGAAGGAAACTTTTGAGATGTCTTAATCTCTGAGGAAAGGACTCAGAATTTCTCCTCTGTAATGGCTTATAATAGAATTGTTGTCAATGATTTCTAGACTGGCTTTTTAAATTAATGCTAAACATTCATCCTTCTTTCCCTCCCTCTTTCCTTCCTTCCTTCTATGCTTTTCTCCTTTTTCATCTCTCTCTCTTTTTCTTTTATCTCTTCGTTTATTGATATTCTAACAAAAAAAAAGACTTGGGAGAGTTTTATTTTTTTATTTTATTTTATTTTTTCTGGTAGTAGTGCTCCTTTATTCAGAGAATAGCAAGGGGACAGGACCCATGGGCAGTGAACAGCTGCAATGGGTTGAGGGCAGGGCTAAATTTATAAGGCATAGGTATGTGAGTTATTTCTTTACAAGACAAAGGAAAGATCATGTAAAAAGTCATTAAAATGGTATCAGTGCAGGTGGCATCTGGTTATCAGGTGGTTGTATAACTTTGGATACAAATAAGGTCAAATCAGGTTAGGAGGTCCTACACTTGCCAGAGGGTGGCATAGATGGGCATTGCAGGCCAGGACGCCTTGGGATTCTCTCCCTGGGGCAGCCTTGATTCTCCTCATAAAATGCCCCCTGAACCCATTTGGCCTCAAAATCCTTTGGGGAAGGATGAATTTTAGATTCACAGGTATGAGAAAAAAAAGGTATAATAAAAGATTGGGGATTATTCATCCTGGTGAAGTGAAAGCTAAATAGTGATTTAATATTAGCACAAAGTGGTTTTTCAAATTCTCTTTGATCACTAGAAGAAGGTCCCGTATATCTTTACTTTGTAGGCAACGTGAGGCAACATAGGACTTTTAACTTTATGTGATAAATACTGCAGGAGCACATTACTGCCAAGGAAATTGTGACTGTCTAATGATAATGCTCATTTCAGGTAAACTTTTGGAATTTATCCATTTGATAAATTCACTGTGCGATTTACGTCTTACAAGAGTCACAAAACACCGTCTGAACTTCTCTTCCAAATAGTTCAAATTATTCTCTCCATTTACAGCATCTTCTCAAAAATCTTCCTTTTATCAATTTATGTGTTAGAGTGAAATATATGATGCAATGAATTACTTCCTGACAATGTTGTCTTATTTGCCTGCCCTAGATGACTACATATTCTTCATTTTCAGCCTTCTCAAAATATCCCTGTGCTCTCTGTTTCTAGGCCTGCTGCTGTATCCCATGTGAAAAGCAGGAAAGAAAATGAAGATTTTTCAGTGCAAGATGCAGTACTCTCTGTTTCAAGCTTTTTTGGCAGTTGCTTATTTTTACACCAGTGTCCAGGGTCAAGGTAATTGAAAACTTTAAGATAATCATTAGAGTCTGGGACTCAAGCCATCTTGGTTCTGATTAGCATTTTTTATTTTATTTACCCGAATAGTACTTCATTGATTCAACTATGTTTCTAGGCAGGGTCGTATGTTGGCTTTTACTCAATTTTACCAGCTGTTTACACGGTAGAAATGTGCCACACCTTTGATGAGGGTTACGACCTCGCCAGTGACTGAGCATAGTAATTTTGTGGCAAGTGGTCAAACAGCTTCTGAAAAGCCTGAGGCGAATTTAAACAGTGAAAGTCAAATTTGCATGTTACAAAATCAGTTCTATTAATAAGGAACTATGTGTGTATGTATGTGTCCCAATTGTGCCTTGTCTCTTAAATAGAGTGTCTACAAAATATTTCTGCCATTTCATACCCGCTCCTTAATTTTGTTCCTTTCTTTAAAAACTGAGCACATAGTCTAAAGGTTACTAAGAGTCTAACAGAGCCTGCTGGTATGCCATTTTAAGCATTTCTAATGATTTCTAGCTTTGTTTTTATTGAAATTAGTTTTTGAAATCTACTATTTCTGTTACTGGGATCTACACTTTAATTTTTAATTTCCACTCATTTTATAAAGTATGTCAGGAATTGGCAAACTACCACCTATGGGCCAAATCTGGCCTACTTCTTGCTTTTGTAAATAAACTTTTATTGGAACACAGGCATCCTCATTTGTTTACATATTGTCTGTGGCTGTTTTCATAATGCAATGGCAAAGTTGAGTAGTTGTGACAGAGACTGGATAGCCCACGAAGACTAAAATATTTATTGTCTTGCCTTTAGCAGAAAAAGTGAGCTAACCTCTGAAGTGCACAATATGTGCAAGTGTGCAAAACGACATTGCTAGACAGATATGATAAACCTGCAGAAACAGAAGCGTTGGTACTGAAATAGTCATTCATCAGTTAAGCAAAGAAGTCTAAATGATAAAGAAGGTGGTTTTAGGAGGGTTAATGTCTAATGTTTGGAAGTGAAAGTTGTAGAAAAGTCAAATGCAAGAACCGCCATACCCTGCTTCCTTAGAGTGAGGCACAATTATTTGGAAAAGAATAGAACTTGACTCCCTGCGCCCTCAAATAGTGTTAAAACACTTGGAGTTAATGACTATATATCCAGCTACTTCATGCAACACATAGGGATCAGTTGGATAGAGGAATTCTGTTTATCTTATTTACATTGATGAAAGAATGCTTTGAGCTGTAGCAATTAGAGAACAGATCTGGGGAATTCAGAAATGGTCATTCATGGAGTAATTGATCAGACAGAGCTCTTCTGGGGTACTTTCAGGGATGCTGTTTATCAACTATACATTGTTAGCCAAATTTTGTTTTAAATTAACATTTATGGGACACCTACTCTGTGTCACGTTCAGGATACAAAGCTGAATGAAACTATCTTCTTTGCCTTACAGCAGTGTGCTGTCCACTAGGGAGAGAGAGTATAAGCAGATAAATCTCAATACAAGTTCTATAGGGGGTTATGGAGAAAAGACAGATGGAAAGATAGGTTGGAGCCAGATTATGAAAGATTTTAAACAGCTCTGCTTTTTAGAGAAACACATTGATAACAATATTGATGATACTCATAGTTGTGACTCATCGGTGCTCGGGGGATTGGAATAACTAAAGCAAGAGAGAGCCTTAGAAGATTATGCTAAGCTGTCCAGGAAACAGGTGTTGAGGGCCTGAAGTAGGTAGAGGGATAGAGAGAAGAGAATGAATCCAAGAAATATGTAAGAGGTAGAAGAGAGAGGACTTGTTTATTGATTAGATGTGGTGGGGGCTGAAGGAGAGGGAAATATCAAAGAGGAATCTGAAGCTTTTTGTTGGAGAAATGAGTAGATGGGGCCTTTAATTTCCACCTCTATGTTATTATTGCTTCTGTATCTTTGTGTCTTAATTGTTTGTTTGCCTAAGCTCATTGGAGGCAGTGTTTCTCTGTTTAATGTCTGTATCTCCAGTACAGAACAATGCCTCAATCATAGTCGATGTTTGTTGGGGAGATTAATAAAGAGAATCAAGGATGAAGCAAGTATCTGAAGCTGAAGATAATGAGTTCAAGTCTTAGACAAATAGTGGAGCTTGAGGTGCTGGTGGGATACCCAGGTGGAGATGTCTGGTAGGTAGTCAGGGGTCTGGAGCTTAGGAGAAAGTGATGAAGGCAGGAGATTTTATCTGAATTGTGTTGTGCTTAGGAATTAGCTTATAGGGACCTTTGAAGTCTTAGAGGTAGAATTAGAAAGGATGGTCCAGTGGAGAGAAGTGAGGATGGAATTTGGCAGACACCAACAGTTAAGAGGTTAAGGGAAGAAAAAGGACCAATTGAAAGTGTCAAAAAAGCCATTGTAAGGACAGTCAGGGGAGGGTAGTGGTCTAGAAGTGAAGGCCGGAGAACCTTTCAAAAAGGAAGCTAGTGGGCATATGCTGGAGGAAACCCCAGTGGGAAAAGCCTTCAGATGTCGTTGGCTTTGGTTTTTAGGAAAGTATGTGAGACCTTTGAGAAACTTTATTTCTACCATGACACCATGTATTTACATGAGTGATTTTGAGCAAAGAATAAAGAATATGAATGCTTTATTTGGTTGATTTTCTACTTTTAAAACAGACATAGTAGTGCGTTCCTGCGGGTTGGCCAATTTTGACCCTAATTTGCCAAGCCATATGTGAGTCTGTTTCATATTCAGTTAAGTACATTGCTAATGGCAGATGTGTTGACTTGCTGGCTGACACTAATTACTCTCAAACCTTAAATTCTTATTGACGTCTTTGGAATCATTTTTATGAACAAAATGAGAAAAAAAAAAAAGGTAAGTGTGGTAGGCAGAATAATGTGCCTGCAAAGATATTCATGTCCTAATCCCCAGAACCTGAAAATATGTTAAATTATATGGCAAAGGGGAATTAAGATGTCAGATGGAATTAAGGTTGTTAATCCACTGACCTTAAAAATAGAGAAATTATCCTGGAATTGTCTGGGTGGGTCCAATTTGGAGCCAATCACAGGGGTCCTTCAATATGGAAGAGGGAGGTGGAGGTGCCAGTGTGAGTGATGTCATGTGAAAAAGACTCAACCAGCCTTTGTTGGCTTTGAAGACAGAAGGGGGCCACAAGTCAAGAATGTGGGAAGACTCTAGAAGCTGGAAAAGGCAAGAAAATCCAAAAAGGAATGCAACTCTACCAACACCTTGATTTTAGCCCAGTGAAACCCATTTCAGACTTCTGACCCGAGAACTGTATAATAGTACATTTCTGTTGTTTTAAGCTTCTATAGTTTGTTACAGCAGCGAGAGAACTAATGCAGTTGGTGTTAAAAGGCATATAGGAAATTAACTCTCCCCTCTTAAATTACTAATCAACAGAATGCGCTTTACCCCTTAGTCTCTCCATGTAATTCTTTATGAAGACTTCTCCCTCTCCAGAGAATGTGAACCCCTATTGGCTCAAATAACTGTTTATACCTGGATTATTCCAGCACCTTCTTTTCAAAACAAATTGTTAAATGAACTGGACCGTAGAGAAAGTAACGTGGTGTTAGCTGTAGGGAAAAAACGTGTATAGCATGACAGAATGGTGGCACCAATACTTTCTCAGAATTTCACAGTAAATCTATATTTGGTTCTGGCAATGTTTGTCTTGGATGACTACAGGAAAGAACCGCTGAAGGTAAAGTAACTGTCATTTAAAAACCTCAGAGCATATAAAATTGGAGACTTTGCACGGGGGCTAGATTTAACTTTATAAAGACCTCTGTGTTAACACATTTACACGTATTTTTTGCTATTATTACTAGTCAAACATATTTGGAAGTTGAGAATATTTTCTTTACTGCTGTTTTCAGCATCTTTATAATGGATCATGAAATTATAACATATTAGATTCTAAGCAAGATAAAAAGAATCCTCTAGCATATCCCATGGTAAATTTCTCTCAAATTTTAACTTCTCCTATTTATAGAACATTTGGGCAATGCGTTTAATTGGAAAATGACTGATAAAAAAAGCTGAGGGTTTTTGGTGTTTGTTTGGGTTTTTTTAGATCACTTGGAAAAATAATCCAAATACTTCTCTGCTGTTTAAATGTATTTTGCTTTTATAAACATATTAGTTTTTCCATTGATATGCACCCTAAACTATGTTTTGAAGGGAAAGATACTCCCAGTGCCTATTCTGCTCCATGTCTAACAGTCAGAGATTTTTGGTTGCAAATAAAAGAAACGTTCTCTGGCCAATTGAAGCAAAAAATGTATTTACTGGAGGTAATGAAGTAACTCATATAATTAAAGTAAAAGGTACATAGTTAAGCTTTGACAAGGACAGGAATCTGGAAATACCCTGGATATAGTTTCTAGGTCACAAATGGATATAGTGACCTTTTTTTTAGGGCACGTCATTGGAATGAAATGACTGGAGTGATTTTCCATCCTTCCATCACTGGACATAAGTTTCAGATTCTTGAGAGAGTCTGCCCGACCAGGTTTGAGTCATTGTCTCACCCCTTAGCCAGAGGAGGATGGCTGACAGTGTAGCCAAGGTGCCTTGCAGTGGGAAGGGAGTGTTAGTCCTTGGAAGAAAACCAGGGTGCTGTTAGAAAAGGCAGAGGGGAAGTGATTATGGGTAGTGAAGAACAAAAGATCTCCATTTCATCTTCCTGTGTCAAAAGTATGTGTTTCGGGAAATGAAGGCAAATATTTCATTAGAAATAAACTTTCACATAGGTTGCCACTTGTCAAAATAGCAAGATTTCAGTTGAGTTGAGTTGAGTTGAGTTGAATTGAAGTGAAAGAAAAAAAGAAAGAAAGAAAGAAGGAAGGAAGGAAAGAAAGAAGGAAAAGGGAAGAAGGAAAGGAGGGAGGGAAGGGCAGAAAATTAGCCCTTTAATAAATAGTCATTTTATGAAATGAAATTTCCCAAGTACCTGATAACAGTAAGGCTTCAATGGAATCACAAAACATTCCTTTTCTGCCTATGAGATTTGATTTCTACAAGATTGATTGCAGTGAAATTCTTTGGGTTTAAAGAAAATCTTCCCTCTAAAAAAAATACAACACAACAAAAGAAAAATACCCTTGTACCTTCAGTAACAAGCCTAACCTATAGTAGAGAGGAAGATAAGAAATGGACCCTCCTCAATCCCGCTTTGGGATGAAGTTCATATATTCACAAATGTTATATTTGGCTCAATGCAACATAGGAAGCCTGACTTCACCATAAAAAGGATGAGCTTGTTGGCCTGGTCTGGGTTCTAAGTGTGTGCCAGAAGTCAAGCTTTACATTTGATTTTTGTCTTTTTAAAAATGTTAAGATTTTAAGTGACACATATTAACTTTTGAGTCAAGTTCATGCAAACATTTATAATTATTACTGGAATTAATTATATGTGTAGAAGCATTTCCTCTGTGCTCACAAAAAGAAAAGAAAAATCATGGGGCTGGTATTAAATATACACAAACTTTTGTTCCAGGAGATAAAAGCAATTATTTCTTCACTGCACTTAGAGTGTTCCTGTCAATCTTGCTGCCCTTGTTTTGGTACAAGTCCCACTGCCTTCCAGACCGGGAAACGGAGCTAACTTTGAAGTTCAAAACTGACTTCATGAATCTTTCTTTCTTACCTAGCATTTCTTCCTTTCAGTGTTTTTTTCCCTAAAGGCAAAATCCTAAAGGAAATGTGAATTTTGTATCTAGCCAAGATTTTTTTTTTAAAGTTGTTTTTATTTTTTCCTTTTTCTCCCCAAAGCCCCCCGGTACATAGTTGTATATTCTTCGTTGTGGGTCCTTCCAGCTGTGGCATGTGGGACGCCACCTCAGCATGGCCTGTTGAGCAGTGCCATGTCTGCGCCCAGGATTCGAACCAACGAAACACTGGGCCGCCTGCAACGGAGCACACGAACTTAACCACTCGGCCACGGGGCCAGCCCCTAGCCAAGATTTTTTTAATGATTGTGAGAGTATTTATGCTTACTTAGAAAATACTTGTAGTCTGCTGATAAAAGAAGATGGTGGTATTTCTTTTTGCTAGCAGTTGTAATGGGACTGTAGTCATATGAACCATTTGTAAATTGTTTAAAAAGTTGAATATTGATGGATTTTTGTTGTTGCGTTGGCTTCACACTTTGTTTCCTTGAAGAGTTCAGTGGAAGCCAGTGGACTCTGGGTTCTGGAGCATCATCTGTATTGTCTGAGCATGATCAGTGTTATCCTCATTACTTTCTCCTGAAGGTTCAGAAGGTTAGCTATTGACTAAAAAAATGTTGTAGACTATAAACTCAGACCACATTTAAAGAACAGTAGCCTGGGTAGAAGATGCTGTAAAGATATCTAATCTTTAACCTAGGAATCCTGAATGTTCTTTGCCCTCCTTGAGATGTCAACACCCCTGGGGTGCTGACAGAATTGGTTGACCCTCTTGGAACTGCCTAGACTGAAGACTCCATTGACGAATCCTAGGCGTCCCAGCTTTCTTTCACCAGTGCATTCATGCAAAACTGTGCAACAAGCTTGGCTAATGATATCTATCAGCCCACTGGCAAGATGTGGCTCAGAAACTGGATATATGGTTTACAATTTTTTAATTCTTATTTTTAATTTTCTTCCATAAGTAATAAGAACTTATCTATAAATAGATTTTTCTCCTCAAGTTCCAGACAAAGAAAAATAGTAATAGTTTCTCTGTTCATCCAAATGTTAGGTTTGGCCACCTTCCTCTTCTGTTTTAAAATAGTTGTTCTTATGATAAATCCACCTTTTCCCATAAACCAGAGAAATGTAAACTCTTCCATTCCTGTCAAACTGAGAATGGGAAGCTAATGTTTTTGTTTTGCATGACTTGCCTTCTCCACTGAGAGGTAGCAAAGGGCGACTAGAAAGAGAATACCACACTTAAGATTGTGCCCTTCGGTGCTCAGTGATTTCAGGTGAGGAGCTACCCTGGAGGGGAGTAAATTACTCATTTATCTAGCCCAGTGAGGGGTGACTTCTTAATATGGCTCTTCTCTCAAAGAAACAGAGCATTTCATTTGGGGTCAGAGATTGTCGTTCATCAGTATGTGAATGTGGGCAAGTCTCTTAGCTTCTCCTTGGTTCCCTAATATATAAAATTGGGATAGCAATATATTTTTGTGAGGATTAAATGAGCTTTTGAGATCACCCATTAGATGGAGTAAGAGGGAAGGAGAACAAACATTTACTGACCGCCTATTATGATGCATCGTATCTGTTATCCTGTTTAACACTGGCGTCCATCCTGTGCAGAAAGTATTGCCGTCACCTTTTCTAAAAACAAGGCTTTGGAAAACACAATCAGTTGCTCAAGGTTGTTGTCTAATAAGTGGCAGAAGTGGGAATTAAACTAATGTCCAAATCTCATAGTATGCTCCATACCTATTAAGGAGAATGTTTGTTTCCTTCCCCACGTTCTGTTTTCTAACGTAGAAAGAAAGGCTGGGCATAAAAGTGGGTAATAAGTGCTAACTTTTCTGTTAAGCATTAGCTTTTCTTTTTTGACAAACTAATTTAGATATTATATCATAAAAATCTTCTTACTAAAGGAATTCTTTTGAATTTCCAGAACATTGGTGTAGGGTCCCAAAAATATATTTTGAAATTTGAATGACTTATACAAAAAGTGATATAGATTTACGCATTTTGTGAACTATCAGAAAAGATTAAATATGTGGGGATGATTCAAGGCCCTGTGCTGTGAATCATTCTGAAAGGTGTAAATCAGCTACACTTGGAGAATGGCTCAAAGTTTGTAAAACATAATTATCTTTTATTTGGTCCTTTTTATTTTGGTCCTTTACAAACTCTTTCTCAAACGTTTTTAAATGAAGATCATATTACTATAATATGTCCATAATAGCCTTCTGAAATGATCTTATCATAAAAAATATTGGATTACTAACGTGAAAAACCACAAGGCACGAAACAGTCCCAGTAGGGTAGATTATGAAATCTCACATGTTCCAAGTAGAAAAATTCGTCCTTGTAACGTAATGAAAGCACTTTACAAGATTGGCTTCAAGTTTTAAACTACACTAGAGAATTAAATTCTAACCCTAACTCATAGTTCTTTGTCATAAGGTCAGAACTGTCTGACAAATGGGCTTATCTCTTGAGTAAGAAACCAATGCCCTTGCGTTTGAGTTATTTTGCAATCTGATCAATTCATGAAGGAGTTGTCGAAAGAACATATTTTGAGGCTGATGAAGTCTCGTGCCTTTTGATTACATTACTTTGACTTTTCAGTTTAACGATTGAAAGCTTAAATGTTTTAACCTTTAAACAATTTTTGTTTTTCCTTTTCAGTGGCTCCACCCACACGGTTAAGATATAATGTATTATCTCATGATAGTATACAGATTTCATGGAAGGCGCCAAGAGGGAAATTTGGTGGATACAAACTTCTTGTGACTCCAGCATCAGGTAAAAACAACCAATTGTATTTTCTAGAGTCTAGCAACTTTTTACACATAGATAACTAAAAATGTGTAGTGCTAAGTGTTGCTTTAAAATCATTTGAAAGTTTTTTTAAACTTAATCTTTTGAGGTTGAAATCTAACCCTACAATCTAGGAAAAAAATGTTCCCAAAGTCTGCGTAGTGACTGTTGGGCTCACCGTAATTCTCCTCAGGCGAAACTTCCAGACTATCAAAATATTCACGACTTCTGTTTCAACATAGAATGAATACTTTTGGTCTATTGGCACCTCGAAAAATACGATATATGAAAAAATATGAACAGTTGTGACTGGCTGAGTAAATTATGATTAGTTAACTTGATAAGACATTATTCAGCAACTATACATTAAAATTATAAAAGCTAAGTAGACATTGTAAAAATAAGTGATAAATTAAATCAAGAAAAGCAAAAGTTAAGCAAATTTATTGATCATGAAGATAAAATATGTAAAAACTTTTTAAAATTAAATTTGGGTTGAATTTTTTCTTTCTTATATTTTGCATTTTTGTTATACAAGTATAATCAACTAAAACAATACAGAACATATAGAGGCATTACCCCTGCTACATGGGTGTCATGGAAGGGAAGATGGGGTCAGCAACTGGAGTGCTTGAGTTCGAAGCCTGGTTCTGTGACTTATAAGTAATGTCATTTGGGCGAGTTATTTAATCTGTCAGTGCCTCAGTCTCCTCTTCTGTAAAATGTGCAAACAGTATCAGGACCTCATGGAGTTGTTGTGGGCTTGGAACTCAAAATGTAGTCTGGGAACCTGCAGCATCGTCATCACCTCAGAGCAAATGCAGAATGTTGGGCCCCACCTCTCACCTACAGAATCAGCATCGAAATTTTAAAAAGATCCTCAGATGATTTCTTTGCATATTAAATTTGGGAAGCAGTGGTTATGAGTCTAAATGAATTAGTAAATGTAAAGCACTTTGAACAGTGACTGCCAGATAGTAAATGCTCAATAAATCTCACCCTGATTATTATGGAGATGTTCTTTAGTATGTCTCTCAGGTCTCATTTCTTTTCCCAGGATCCGTTTTCACCTAGTACATAATAAACACTTAATAATAGCATATTTGTATAATTTATATATTTATATAAATATAATAATTTTTTTCTCTTTATTGGTGATAAAGATGGTTATGTGGAGCTGGACTCCTTTATGTTGGAGACCTTTTCCCAACTCATTTAATGAGGCAGACAGATACTCTGTTGTTCATGAATGTGGATATCTTACCAGTTCATTCTTACCAGTTGATTTAAAATCTCTAACAAAACGAGTACATGAAACACCAGGCTTCTTGCTCTACCACTAAAGAGGAACCTCCTTTTATTAACAAAGAGTACCCATAGGCTCCTTAGAATGACTTCTGGTTCCCTGATAGGAGATGACAATCTTTCCCATGTTGGCCTGCAGAAGTGACTCACTTGTGGAAAGCAATATTTTATTCTCCAGCCTGGTTCAGAGATTTCATTTTGGAGTATGGCCCAATTTTGAAATAACTTTGAGTTTTTATAATGCAGTTTGTTTTCTAAAATAAGCCATCATGGGAAATTTAACTTCAAGAGATTCTTGGACATCATTATGACCCTAAAGGTCAAAATACAAGTTACCAGTTTATGGTACGACTGAGAATTCCCCATGTATGACCTTAAAAGGTTATTTTTTTCCCTCCAGATAAACAGTGTTTTATCTTTTACTAATTAATTTCTGATAATTCCAGACTATTAAGTACCCCAAGTTGGTGTCAGTGAGGAATCAGAGAATCTTAGAAGTGACTTGGGTGGCCTCTGGACCAAACCTCAGTCTGATCCTTCGATCCACTCTGGCACAGCACACCCAAAAAGTAGACCTCCAGCTCTTGCTTAAACACCTCCAGTGACAAAATAAAAACTGAGGATGAAAGCAAATTATTTTTTTATGAATACTGGGTTTACTTTCCCCTCTGAGCCAATGTCCTTACTGCAGTTGTCCAAGCCATTAAGACAGTTTTAATACTCTGATAGCTATTTGATCAAACATAGCAAATAAAAAGAGTAGTAACTACATCTAGACACAAAATGTTTGTAGACATTTTAGTAGTATGAGACATGTTCCAAGTACTGTTTATACCAGTTTTTCCCAAAGCATGTTCCATGGTATTCTGCAGGGTGCTAATAGCTATTATATGACCAAAAGTTTAGTGGCCAAATAAATTTGAGAAGTCCTGGTTTAGACAGAGTTTAAAGCTTTTTATTGCAGGATTCATAAAGCCTTTAATAAAATAATACATCCTTTGCCTCTCAGAGAGAGACTCTATTATACAGAGTTTGCCAAGGAATTTTTTTTTTAGTGAAATGTACATTATGGAAGATTTATTTGGTGCGCTTTGTAGTAGATGAGTTTTAAATGATAGAGGAAGTTTGTGAAGCCAGATTTAAGATCTTGGACACAAATGCATTTAAGGGATTGGGTTTTGGCAAGAGAGAGGCGCATTTCTGCCTTCTAGTAGCAGGCAACATGGATGATAGTAGTGTCAAATTTCAGACTTAACGTCAGTAATTTTATTAGAATGTAATTAACATATATCGTAATCTGTGTTATGTTTGATTAATTCAGCCAATTTCAGACTCTTTTTGCTGTTACTGCTACAGGGGCAGAAGTTTTAAATTAATTTCCCTTTTCTCAGACACAGTAATCACTGCCAGTGATTAGAGAAGAAAGGTGTATTTGTAATTTTGCATGAAAGTTGAGTATTTAATGAACAGCATTTTCAGGAAAGCCTTAGATAGTCTAATTTGATGGAGAGAGAATGGAGGTTTGAAATCTTGTTATGAACCAAGCTAACTTTTCAGTAGCGAGGTAGTGAGAGGTTCCTTCAACATCCTGAGCCTAGTGATGGCCACATTAAAGATAATTAAATTGCTGATGCTTTAAGGATGCTTTGACTCACTTTAGAGAGGCCATAGGAACAATTGCAGCGTAGATAATTATATTCAATCTGCCTATATCTTTCTCTTCACTTTTAAGTGGAATTCTTTTCTTGAAGAATATATCTGATGTTGAGGGCTTGCTGTCTTCTAGTCTTGCACTATCACTTTCCCTAGTGTTTAAAAACAATAATGTGTTATGGTGAAAGATTTTTGAGAATGTGCTTTTACCTAATTTAGACAATTGTTTGTCTAATGCAAAGAGTACAACTGAAAATGAGAATGAAAACTGTATTAAAATTAAGCGCTATGGGGCTGGCCCTGTGGCCGAGTGGTTAAGTTCGCACGCTCCGCTGCAGGCGGCCCAGTGTTTCGTTGGTTCGAATCCTGGGCGCGGACATGGCTCTGCTCATCAAACCACGCTGATGCAGCGTCCCACATGCCACAACTAGAAGGACCCACAACAAAGAATATACAACTATGTACCCGGGGGGCTTTGGGGAGAAAAAGGAAAAAAAATAAAATCTTTAAAAAAAAAAATTAAGTGCTATGCACATAGGCTCCATTGTATATATTTTAAAATGTCTTCACCTTTTAAAATCTTTATTGCTGGTTAATAAGTTTTCTTAATGTACGCAGTTAACCTATTTCTTAGATCTGATTTTTCTTTCTGTTTTATTAAGGTGGAAAAACCAATCAACTGAATCTCCAGAACACTGCAACTAAAGCAATTATTCAAGGTCTTCTGCCAGACCAGAATTACACAGTTCAACTTATTGCATACAGTAAAGACAAAGAAAGCAAGCCAGCCCAAGGTCAATTCAGAAGTACGTATTTATAGGTCTTAAGGTGCCACCATAGTACTCTGTCCCAGCTCTGAGTTTGAGTTTGTTAAATACTGTAAGAGGTTAAAATCCTAGATTCTTTAGATTTGAAGAGATCTTAAAAGACATTTAGTACCATCTTCATGAGTTCCTTCTATCTCTAATACTCCTCTGCCCCTCCTTTACCCATTTCACTGGACTCCTACTTATTCTTTAAGTTTTAGTTTTCAAATGCTCTAGCCTGCATCTTACCCAGACATCTCATCTACCCAGCACATAATAGATGCTCATTAAATACTTACTGAATGACTGAATCGATGATGCCAGCATTTCCTCTTTAGTATCCCCAGCAAGTGCCAATCCAGCCTCTGCTAAAACAACCTACACAGTGAGGAATTTAACTACTTCCAATAATTAATCAGTTGGCATTTCTTAACAGCCTATTATGTGCCAGGTCTCATGACAAACATTGGTAAACAAATGCAACATGGTAAGTATTAGGGAAAGATACACCTAGGACGTTATGAAGAGAGGACTCTCTCTGCCCTAATAATGGGTTGGGAACAGAATGGATGGGGGGATGGCTTCATATCTGAACCAGTTTTCAAATGGTAAGTTGAGCAGACAGAGAAAGGATGGGGCATCCAGACACATACTAAGCAGGGGAGAAAGTTCTGAGGCAGCCCAAGCCGTGTCGACATCCTTCCATTAGAAAGCTTTTCTTTTTATTGAGTTTAAAGGTTGTCCACACAGGCCCTGCTTTTTCTGCCTTTCAGGAGATATTCATTCATTCATTCTTCTTTTTTTTTTGCATTTAACAAATATAGATTGCATGGTTACTAAGTGTCAGGCCCTATTCTAGGCACCAGGAACATGACAAATCTCTGCCCTTATAGACCTGACATGCTAGTGACCAGAGGGTACAGGAACTCCTTCTTCCTGAAGGTGGCCTGTCAAATGTGGAGGGCAGAGTTTTATGTGTCATGAATGCTAACAGAAGAGGCCTGCCCTGGTTAGCTTTCTGTGTTACTTCCTTGTTAAGATAGACTCTTTAAAAAACCTGACTTATTATTAAGGACAATTTTCAACATCATAAAAACATAGGCAGAATAGTATAATGACCCCCTAAGTATCCATCATTCGCTTCAACGATTAGCCATTCATGTCTAGTCTTGTGTCATCGATACTCCACTGCCACCTCCTCCCCATATTATTTTGCAGCAAATCCTACGTATCATTTTAAATAACAATAGCTTTTAAAATCCCGCTATTAGGATTAATCCACAAATCTGGGAGGCCATGAGTTCTAGAGCTCTGCGTGCAGCAATGTTCTATCTAGATATTCTAACCCTCCCTCCCTTTTTTCCTCCTTCTTTTAAGTAATGTTTTATGAGACATATTTTGTGATTTCTTTTTTTTTAAATTAAGAAAACCCAACTTTGTTAAGCTATTACCTCTTGAAACTTCTGAACAAAGATGTTTGGTAAATCCACCTGTCAGCAGGACATACAGATGTTTTAAATGTTACATTCTTTTGAGACTCACATTGTCTGGAAGCTCTGGAAAAGGTTTTTTATGTTATTTTCAATATAAATCAGACTTCTGTCTCGTTTTATTGGCACTGGGCTTCAGTTTCTGGCCTCCAACATTCCTACATGAGTAAGTGAAATAACTTTTCTTAAAAGTTTGTGAGAAGCAGAAAAAGGGATGAGGAGAAATGATTTATTTTACGTTAGTCTGAAGGTATTGCGATTGATTATTTTAAATATTCCACTGACTGGGCAGCGTAAGAAACACAGCCTTAAAAAGCTTTCACAATAGCTATTTACTCAAAATACTGAAAAAGAAATGCAGTTTTCAGCTTATTTAGCTCTGCTGAAATAATCTTAGGGAAACAGTCTAACCTGTTAGTTGGATAAATAATATGTGAGCATTTATATTTTTTAGCTGTGTTATTTTTATTGGCAGAGTGGAGGAATTAGTTCTTCCCAAATAACAGTTTGTAAGAATGAAACTCAAATAACTTTATTTGGATGGCCTCCTTTTCCATTTTGCATTTCAGTTATAATTTTGCTCCCTGGGAGATGGAGCTAAGGCCCGGTCTCCCCTCCCTGGGAAACTTTCCTGGTTGGATACAGGAAAATGATGATCCAGACAAATCCTGTGGATATACGTTTGCAATTTGTGTAGGGGTTTGAATTCTTCATAAGTTCATCTTCTGATACACAGGGAAGCATAAGAAACGATCTTTGGAATTTGAAGACAGAAAGGCATGCCGGCTATTACGATCCTAAATCTGGTGTGGGTATTTGGCCAAGCAACTCAATAGCTTCCAGCCCCAGTTTGCTTGTCTCTAAATGGGGGTAATGACATGTGCCTATTATACAGAGCAGGGGCATGATAGAAGGGTTGTTAGGATTAATATCACTTGGCTTGTGACAGTCTGTTCTCTAAAAGATTTTGCCCCTTGCATGAGGGGGGCTGCAGCTTGGTGTGACCTATGTGCTACATCTTGTATGTGAACCAAAGGCCGAATTCAGAGTGACTGTCATTTTTCCTCGTTCATCTGTAGACTGGTTTATGGCCCTATTTGGCAAACTTTCTTTTCCACCGCCATTTTCCAAAATATCCTTTGGAATGATGTTTTGCTAATCTCTGCCTGCAAAATCTTGCTCATCTTTCAAAGTCTGGCTTACATGTCACCTTCCCAATGAAGTTTCCCCAAGTCTCCACCTCTGGAATTCTTCCCCAGATCTATTTCTACTTCAGCACAATTTTTCTCATATTAACATTGCAGACTTATTTTCTTTTACAGAATGTAAGCAATTTGAGGCCATGGCCTATGTGGGGGTGGGGTTGAAGATGTAGAATTGGAAATTATCCACAGAAGGGTGAGAATGAAAACTGTGGGATGACAAAATTAAAGTTGGGGTGTGCAGAGATGCAAGATAACTTTAGTATACGATTATGTTTCAGGAATGGAAGTAGAACAAGGATCCAAAAAACAAGAATGTAAAGGAGAGGTCAGAGGAATACAAGAAAAGCCAGGATGGTGCCTTTGTGAAAACTGAGAAAGAGAAGAATTTAAAGAAGAGGGTGTTTCAAAGTGGCCAAGGCTTGTAAAGAAGTCAGAGAATGAGGGCTGAAAGAATGGATTTAGATAATTAAGAAGTCAGAGGGAATAGCAGGATCAAGGCATCTTCTATTTATTATTATTATTTTTAATCTTGGAACTTACTCTCTAGGTACCAGAAAGCCAAGGAAGGTTTCTAAGGAAAGGAATAATAGAACTAGAACAACATGACCTTGGCAGATGGCAAGTCTCAAATGCTTTTAGCAAAGGGATGGAAACCAGTGGAAAGACGAGGAGGAGGAGAAGACGATAAAGACAGGATCAATGGAATGATCCCCTAGAGATGACAGGAGGGATGGTTCAGAGAAAATCATTGCTTCCCTTACACAGCCCACCCCTCAATAAATTTGCTTATTTCTGTGAAATGAATGCAGCAATTAAATGAAACATCTTACCATGAGGTCACTTCTGCCTTTTCACAGGGTATTTTATTTGTGCAGAAACCATTGCCATTTGGCAATAGTCTTGACTGACTCAAACAACTTAAGGTGCCAAACAATAGCAGGAAATTGCCGTGGAGTTTTAAGCAGTGGAAAGTGAAGCTAATGGTCTAGGCTGATGTGACTGTATTAAAGGACAAGGGGCATTCTGGGTCCCTGGATATTTCATAATGAAAGTGACAAAGAAACTATTATTTTTAGTAGGGAAACTTTTTTTTAAAGTTTATAAGGAAATTATTATGGGGTTCCCCATCTTCTATTGCAGATAGACCAACTCCAAATGAGAATATTCGTGGCTAAGATCTTTCTAGAATAGAGGCCAACTCGGAGGTCTTGTCCAGAGACCTGAAGATATGGCTCAAATCACTTTCTGATTTTATGAGATATGTTTTAGTTACTTAGCTCCTGGTTCTTTGTTCCCTCATGTATGGAATGGGGATAATCACACCAATTTTATAGCAGTTATAAAGGATTAAATTTATCTGATACACCTGCCCATAATGGGCACTTGACCAAAGTAATTCCAAAGTGTTTTCCTCACCTCCCTGTGGCAAAGTTAAAAGAAATACAAGTTCTAATCTTTGGGAATGAGTTCTACCATAGAGCTGATTTGTACTCAATACTCAATACTTGCAAGAGTTTTAGTAAAACTCATTGCATGTTTTCTTTTAGACTAATATAACATGTTGATGTATTTCTATTTTTCTTCCAGTTAAAGATTTAGAAAAAAGAAAGGAGCCAAAACCCAGAGTCAAGGTTGTGGACAAAGGAAATGGGAGTAAACCATCTTCACCAGAAGGTCAGATTTTTTTTCTACTTGCTTATTTTGGGGGTTGAGTTGTTTTTATAACATAGACGATAGAAACATACCTGGCCTTTGGTCCTATCAGAAGAGTACATATATGACAGTCTCCCTCTGCTCCTTTTCATTCCCCCCTCTTTCCTCACACGTAATCACTATCAACACTTCCCTCTCCCTTACTCTCCCATATTCAATACATCACCAAGTTCCAGTGAATTCATTTTCTCTTGAAATACTGACAGAATCTGTTCATTTATTTCCATGTCTATTGCCAATGCTCAGGCTAAGCTCCCATTTCTTTCCTGGTGTACAATATTAGTCAGCAAATCTCAATTTGTTCTCTACCAAGAAGTTGGAGCAATCTTTTCAAGACAAATCCAACCCTATGCTCTCCTCACACACAGCTTAAAACCCCTTCAATATTTTCCCACTGCTCTTAGGATGGAGGACAAAATCCTTAAGAAGACCTCCAAGGCCCTGTGTAGTTTGATAACCTACTGACTCGCCTCTCCTCCTCATTTACCAATACTCGCTCCCTGCTCTCCAGCCCCATTGGCCTTCTTTCAAATCCTTTAAAGACTATGGTCTCTCCCATACGAAGTCATAGCACCTGCGGCACTCTCTGCACGAAACACTCTCTCCCATCACCACTCTGCTTAAATACCTTCTTTTCTTTCTTCAGAGTTCAGTTCCATCATCACTTTCTCAGAAACTTTCTCCAATATTTCCTCTATTAGAGGTCCTTTTACACCAGCTAACTTTCCTTCACAGCATTTGCATGTTTATCTTCCCCACTAGATGATAAGATCCAAGAGAAAAAGGATTGTGTCTGTTTTTGCTCTTCCATATCTAGCAGTTTCTGATGCATAACAGGTATCCAGTAAATAGTCACTGAATGGAAAGATGGATAAATGATCAATTAGAAATGTTACCTACTATTGGCTAAAAATATACTCACCCATCAACTCACCCCAGTGTTTCTTTTTACACTTTGGCACGTGACTTGCCCTTCTCTCTGAATATATAAACATATGTGTATGGCTTGCCATACTGTATTTCTTATTCTGTGCATTGCTTTTTCACTTTGAGAACTTTCCATGTTACTGCCTACAGGAGGCGTGATAGCCTAGTGGCAAATTGTGTGGGCATCAATTTTGCCTGCCTGGATTCAACGCCTTTGCCACTTTAAGCTTGGGTAATTTATACTGGTGATCCTAATGTCTGTGTCTCTTTTTCTTCATCTATAAAAGGTGGATTTAATTCATAGAGGTATTTGGGATTAAATGGGTTGATATATGTAAAATAGAATACTGCCTACCATTGAATAATTTTAGCTGTTATTGTTAGTTTACCTCCTTCCTTCTAATGGCCAGATCGTATCCTAAGGAATAGATTATCTTAATTCGTGAACCGTTCCCCATGCTAATGAGCATTTGGATGCTTTCTAATTTTCACTGTTACAAACATGCTGCAAAAAACACCGTATATCGGAAGGTGAATGTTCAGCTCAATCAGGTCCTCCCTCCTGGGGAATCGGAACAGAAGACAGAGAGAGTTAAGTCATAACAGGAGTAGAAGAAGTAGAGCCCAAGACTCACCAAGGAACCTTAATAGCGAAGCCTTGACCTTGGATGCCTGCTGCTAAGAGGCTGATCAAGTGATGGAATGGCTAGAGCTGTTGTGGCATACAGTGGGTTGCTGGAGCTAATGCTGTTTTCTGAACGAACGTCAGGTTTTTCTTTTTCCTTTTTTTTTTTTGAGGAAGATTAGCCCTGAGCTGACGTCTGCTACCAATCCTCCTCTTTTTGCTGAGGAAGGCTGGCCCTGAGCTAACACCCATGCCCGTCTTCCTCTACTTTATATGTGGGACACCTGCCACAGCGTGGCTCAACAAGCAGTGCATATGTCCACACCTGGGATCCAAACCAGTGAACCCTGGGCTGCCAAAGCAGAATGTGCGAACTTAACCCCTGCACCACCCCGACAGCCCCTCAGAGTTTTTAATCATAAGTGGATACTGTAACTTGTCAAATGCTTTCTCTGCGTCTATTGAGATGATCGTGTGATTTTTATTCTTCATTTTGTTAATGTGGTGTATCACATTGATTGATTTGCGGATGTTGAACCATCACTGCATCCTTGGAATAAATCTCACTTGATCATCCTGTATGACATTTTTAATGTATCGCTGGATTTGATTTGCTAGTGTTTTGTTGAAGATTTTTGCATCAGTGTTCATCAGTGATACTGGCCTGTAATTTTCCTTTTTTGTGTTGTCGTTATCTGGTTTTGGTATCAGGATATTGTTGGCTTTGTAGAATAAGTTAGGAAGCTTCCCTCCTCTTCAATTTTTTGGAAGAGTTTGAGAAGGATAGGTATTAAGACTTTGAATGTTTGGTAGAGTTTGAGGGGAAGCTATCTGGTCCTGGACTTGTATTTTTGGGGAGGTTTTTGATTTCTATTTCCATCTCCTTACTGATGATTGATCTATTCAAATTCTCTATTTCTTCTTGATTCGATTTTGGAAGGTTGTATGATTCTAAGAATTTATCCATTTCTTCCAGATTATCTGATTTGTTGGTGTATAGCTATTCATAGTATTCTCTTATTCTGTATTCTCTGTATTTCTGAGGTATCTGTTGCAATTTTTCCTCTTTCACTTCTGATTTTATTTGAGCCTTCTCTCTTTTCTTCTTGGTGAGTCTAGCTAAATGTTTGTCAATTTTGTTCATGTTTTCAAAGAACCAGCTATTCATTTCATTGATTTTTCCTATTGTTTTTTTAGTCTCTATTTCATTTAGTTATTCTCTGATTTTTATTATTTCTTTCCTTCTACTGATTTTGGGCTTTGTTCTTCTTTTTCTAGGTCCTTTGGGTGCACTGTTAGATTGTTTATTTGAGATTTTTCTTGTTTGTTGAGGTAGGCCTGTATTGCTATAAACTTCCCTTTTAGAACTGCATATGCTGTATGCCATAAATTTTGGCATGTCATATTTTCATTTTCATTTGTCTCCAGGTATTTTTTGGTTTCTCCTTTGATTTCTTCATTGACCCATTCGTTGTTCAGTAGCGTTTTGTTTAATCTCTACGTAGTGTGGCTTTTCTGATTTTCTTCCTGTAATTAATTTCTAGTTTCATACTTTTGTGGTCAGAAAGGATGCTTAATATGATTTCAGTCTTCTTAAATTTATTGAGACTTGTTTTGCAGCCTAATATGTCGTCAATCCTGGAGAATGTTCCATGTGCATTTGAAAAGAATGTGTATTCTGCGGTTTTTGGCTGGAATGTTCTGTATATATCTACTAAGTCCATCAGGCCTAGTGTGTCATTTAAGGGCAATGTCTCCTTATTGATTGTCTATTTAGATGATCTATCCATTGGCGTAAGTGGAGTGTTGTTATTGTGCTACTGTTGCATTACTGCTATTATTGTGTTACTGTCTATTTCTCCTTTTATGTCTGTTAACAATTGCTTTATATATTTACATGCACTATGTTGGGTGTATAGATATTTACAAGTGCTATATCCTCTTGTTGGATTATTCCCTTTATCATTATGTAGTCCCCCTCTTTATCTCTTGATACAGTTTTTGTTTTAAAGTCTATTTTGTCTGATATTAGTATTGCTACTGCAGCTTTCTTTTTATTGCCATTTCCCTGGAGTATCTTTTTCCATCCCTTCCTTTTCAGTTTGTGAATGTCTTAGGTCTGAAGTCTGTCTCTTGTATGCAGCATTCATATGGGTCTTGTTTTTTCATCCAGTTGGCCACCCTATGCCTTTTGATTGGAGCATTTAGTCCATTGACATTTAAAGTAGCTATTGATAAATATGTACTTATTGCCATTTTGTTACTTTTTTTCTGGGGATTTTAGTACTTCTTCTCTGCTCCTTCTTCTCTTGCTCTCTTCCCTTGTGGTTTGATGGCTTTCTGTAGTATTGTGTTTGGGTTCCTTTCTCTTAATTTTTTGTATTTATTATAGGTTTCTGGTTTGTGATTACCATGAGGTTCATATATAATAACCTACATATATAGCAATCTATGTTAAGTTGATGGTCTCCTTAGTTTGATCTCTTTCTGAAAGCTCTACTCTTTTACTCCCCTCCTCCCACATTTTGTGTTTTTGATATCATATCTAACCTCTTTTTCGTCTGTGTGTGTACCCATTACCCTCTTTCATGCAAATAGATAATTTTGGTATTTTTGTCTTTTCACCTTTATATTATCTTCATAGGTGGTTGATCTGCTGCCTTTACTGTATTTTTGCCTTTACCAGTGATTTTATTGCTTTTTTTGTTTTTGATATTTTCTTATTCCTATTTGTGGTCTTCTCTTCCCCACTTAAAAAAGTCCCTTTAGCATTTCTTCTAGTACTGGTTTCTTGGTGGTAAACTTCTTTAATTTTTGCTTGTCTGGAAAATTCTCTCTCTCCTTCCGTTCTGAATGATAACCTTGCCAGATAGGGTAGTCTTGGCTGTAGGTTGTTTCCATTCAGCACTTGAAGTATATCATGACACTCCCTTCCAGCCTGTAAAGTTTCTGCTGAGAAGTCAGCTGATAGCCTTATAGGGTTTCATTTGTATGAAACTTGTTTGCCTTTCTCTTGTGGCTTTTAGGATTCTTTCTTTATCTTTATTTTTTTAAATTAATTAATTATTTTATTCCAGTAACACTGGTTTATAACATTATGTAATTTTCAGGTGTACATTATACTATATTTTGAATTCTGTGTAGATTACATCGTGTTCACCACCCAAAGACTAATTAGAATCCATCACCACACATATGTGCCTGACACCCCTTTCACCCTCCTCCTTCCCCACTTCCCCTCTGGAAACCACTAATCCAATCTCTGTTGCTATGTGTTTGTTTGTTGTTGTTTTTATCTTCTACTTGTGAGTGAGATCATATGGTATTTGACTTTCTCCCACTGACTAATTTCACTAAGCATCTTCTCTTGCTCTCTTCCCTTGTGGTTTGATGGCTTTCTTTAGTAATA